CGCCTGGTCCAGACCCTGCTGGTCCGCCATCGCTCCAGCAGCTGGCAGCCCACGGCTCAGCCAGATCCCTCGGATGCCCATTGGGGCTGGCTGGGCGATCGGGCGCAGGAGTGGCGGCTGCTGCAGGCGGCGGGGCAGGCCGCCCAGGCGCGGCGCCTGCAGGTGAAGCTCCTGCGCTTCAAGCCGCCCGTCCCTGCCGGCGAGCCTGCGGCGTGGTTCACCTGGCGGCGGCCGGCGAGGCGTCTGCACCGTCTCCCTGATGATGGAGGTGACGAGCTGCTGGCCTCGCTTCGACGCCTGGCCTTGGCGGCGTCAGGGCGCGCGCCGCACGGGCGCTACAAGTCCTGGATCGTCTGGGCGCGCGACGTCACAGCCGCCGATGGCTTGCGCGAGGTGTTCCGCTGGATCCGCGAGCCTGCCCCATGGGCAGCTGGCCGCTGGTCGCCTGCCGTGGGCCTGCAGACCGTGCAGGAGGCGGCCAACGCGACCGTCCGCCCATGGCATAACCAGCGGGGCGAGGGCGCTGGGCTGGACGCGGTCAGCTGGCCAGCGGGGCTGGGCGACGGCCTTCCGATGCCGACGCCCGACAAGCTGCGCAAGGTGGGCCACTCCTTCCCGCGCGTCGCGGGGTTGGGAGGCGACGCCTTCCACCCTCGGCACGTCACCTTCTTGTCAGACGGCGCGCTGGAGGCGTTTACCGCCGTCTGGAGGCACATGCTGGTTCTCGGCTACGTGCCCAAGGCGCTGGCGGTGCTGCAGATGGCGCCCATTCCGAAGGCCGAGACGGGCGCCCGCACCATCGGGCTCTTTGGTGGAGCGCTGCGCCTTTCACGCGCTTGACGCCCGGCATAGTCGGCGCCCGCTGGGCCAGCGCCCACCAGCGGGACTACATCTACGGCGCGTCCTGGGCGCAGCTGCGAGACGTGCTCGTGGGCCCAGGCGGCCGCTGCTGTAGTCGCGACTCACCGCAGGCAGGCGGCCTGCTCCGTGCTCAGAGCTCATGGACCTCTCCAAGGCTTACGAGCACATCCCGCGGGCGCTGCTGGTCTTTCGAACCCGCGCCTTGGGCTTCGACGTGATGCTGATTTGGCTGCTCATCAGGCTCTATTCCCTGCCGAGGCTCGTCACCGTGGACGGCGCGGAGATGGGCTGGTGTGCCCCGCTGCGGGGCGTGGTGGCAGGCTGCAGCTTCGCGGACCTCTGCATGCGCATCTTCCTCGTGCCGCGGCTCGACGAGATAGCGGCCCTCGGCGCCGTGGGCCTGGGGAACGCCGTGGACGACATCTAGCTCGGCAAGGTCGGGCTTCCCAGGCTGGTGGCGGCGAACGTCAGCGCGGCCTACAGACGGATTCGATGCGCCCTGACGGCGGACGGGTTCGTCGTCAACGATGGCACGGGCGCGGCGCTGGCAAAAGCGTCTGCCTGCACCCGCGAGGTCATGCGGCGCCGCCGCCCCCTTCGCGGCAAGCTCAGGAGTTCGGCGCGCAACCTGGGCGTTTATTTCGCCAGCGGGCGCCGGGCTGGAGTGAGCACGCGGGCCAAGCGCACTGCTACTACACTGCGCCGCGCTGCGCGCATTCGCGCACTCCGCGCGGCTCGTGGCAAGACGCGCCAGCTGGTCAGCCTCGGTCTGACCCCAGCTGGCACATGGGGAGTGGGGGTGGGTGGGAGGGCTTGGAGCGGGATCGAGCCGATGAGACGAGCGGTGCATTCTGCCTGGTATGTGCACACAGCTCGTCGCTCTCTCGATGTCGACCTCCACCTCTCCCCTGCCTCTCCGTGGACGGTAGGCCCCGCCTGCGCTTGCGCTGCGGGGCCCATCCATATGCTGGCCCATGCGATGTGGTCCTCGTGGATCCCTCGGGAGTCGATTGCTCGTTTGATGTTTGTTTATGAGGCCGCTTTCTTGGCCGGCCCCTCCAAAAGCGACTGACCCCTGGTCAGAGGTCCGATCGCGGCTGCCGTCGCCAGCTGCTGTCGAATAGGGTGGAGGCTCGGGCCAGGAGCGTGCATGGATTTAACTCAGGACGATTATAAGATAGACCTCGCTAGAAAGTGCCCTCGCTCTGTGCTACACGTTGCTCGATTCGCGATCGAGGATTGGCTGATGGGTCGTGCCCGCAGGAGCTGCGATTACTTGTCGAGTCTCGCCCATATGCCGTACTTGTCACTTATTCGTAAGTTGTGCAATGAAGCGCGCGGGCCGGATTGGACCCCCCAGCATCAGGCCAGTCTCCGTGCTATTGCTGCGAATGGAATCTGGGATCAGGCTCGCAAGTTTAAGCACGGTCTGACGACCGATCCGTCGTGCCCCCTGTGCGGCAGTTGCCCCGGCACTTTCGCCGCTTGGATTGCTGGTGAATGCTTGGCCACCTGGCAGCATGTGCGGGATTGCGACCCGCCTCTGTCCGTGCGGGCCCCCGTGAGCACCCCGACTGGGCCTTTTGGGGGCGCGGCCTGGTCCCCGACCTTCGGCCCTGGGTGATCGGCCCCTCCTCCTCCCTCCTCGTCCGTTGGCTCAAGCGTCCGCTGGACGGTCACTTCTAGGGCGAGGCCTTCGGCGACGGCTCGCGCGCGTCGCTTGCGCAGGGTGACCTGCGCCTCCATCGTGCAGGCTGGTGCGTCGTGCAGGTCGGCGCCAGCGGGGGCCTTGCGGCTTCCCTGTGAGGCCTGCTGCCTGGCCTGCACCAGGCGCCGGACCTGGCCGAGGCCTATGGCCTGCTCATGTATCTCGCGCGCGATGGGCTGGGCCCCTTTCACTACCATTCGGACTGCGATCAGGTGGTCTCGAGCTTCCAGCGTGGCCGTTTCGAGACCACGGGCGCCATGTGCGAGGGCGCCGACGCGTGGTCCCAGATATGGGATCGGGTGGACGATTTGGGGGGGGGGGGGGGGGAGTGCGGAAGGTGAAAGGCCGCGCCCGCCGCCGTCACGACGACGAGCAAGAGCTGGGCGCGGTCGCGAGGTGGGGGGACCGCCGCGCTGATGCTGGCGCCCGCGTGGGCGCCTCTCTTCATCCCGCGGATGCCGAGGCCAGCGAGCGCGTGCAACGCTGTTTTAAGCAGGTCACCTTCGTGGCCAAGTTCCTGGCCAGGACGATGCAGGCTGTCGGCCCCAAGTCGCAGCAGGCGCCGCGCCAAGGACAGCTGCGGCGGGCCAAGCGACGTGGGCCGACGCCAGTTGCCCACGTGCCCGTGCCGTCGCCCAGGGGCTTCAGGTGCGCCAGATGCTTCCGCGTCGCTCGGCAGCGGGATGCTTTCATCCCACCTGTGTGTGCCCCTGGTGGGGGCCACCGCGTCTGGCACGTTGGCCAGTTCATCTTTTGCCCCCGCTGCGGTGCGCACTCCAGCGAGAATGCGCAGCTCCTGGCGCTCCCTCGCCTTGGTGGAGTGCCCCCCAAGACGCGCGCGCGTTTAGACCGTTTCTGGGAGGGCCTGCACCCTCGGACTGGGCAGCCGCTGCTGCCGACTGCTGAGGGACAGCTGAAGCCGCGTCCTTTCGGCGAATTTGTCTTCGACGCCATCTACGGGGGCTTGGTCGTAGTCGAAAGCGATTGCGCCGTGTCGGACTTGTTTCCTGTTCCTTTCGCGTGCGGCACTCCCGTGTGGGATGTGCCCGAGTTTTCACGTTTGTCAAGCTTTCGCCTCAGTTTGTCTGCGTCTCTGGCCCCGCTCGCACGCTTTCGGCTGCGCCTGGATAACAAAAACATCTTCCTCCTCCTCCTCCTCCTCCTCCTCCTCCTCCTCCTCCTCCTCCTCCCCCTCCTCCCCCTCCTCCTCCCCCTCCTCCTCCTCCTCCTCCTCCTCCCTCTCCTCCTCCTCCTCCTCCTCCTCCTCCTCCTCCTCCTCCTCCTCCTCGTCCTCCTCCTCTTCGTCCTCCTCGCGATGGGCCCATCGAGCGCAAAGCCTTTCGGTGCTTCGGAAGCGCAGCTTTCCAACATTGAAAAGAGCAAAACAAGTGCCACGCACGCTTTTACAACATCATCTCTGACGAACTCGTTCCCCGGTCGGGTTCACGTTGTTTCGGCGGCAACGTAGGTGGCTACGTGTAAGGATTGAACTCGCGTTTATGGTCGCTACAACATCTTGACAGCGGTTTAGAGTACGAGGTCCGCCGGGGAGCGAGTTCTTTCAAATCGGTATTATTTCCGCCGGGGAACGAGTCGAACAATCGGGGAACGAGTCGTTTGACAGGGACCGGGGAACGAGTCGCTCGCGCAGGGTGTCCCCTCCCTGGAGGCCAAATTGTAGCCAAAACTTGTTGTAACATGTTTGGTTATGGTTCTCTCGTCGAGGCCTCTTGGGGCATCTTGGGTGTCTCTGGGGGCCTCTTGGGGTCGTCCTGAGGTATCCTGGGGGCCGTTTGGGGCCTCTTGGGACCTCTTGGGTTTCTTGGTGCCGAGGGCTCGAAATGTCAATTTGGATCCCGTCTGGTTCCCCTCGTGGAGCCGCCTTTGGGGGCTTCAGGGGTCGTTTTGGAGGCCTCTTGCGCAGTCTCGGGGCCCTCTTGAGCCGCTGTCGGTCCATCTTGGAGGGCTCTTGGTTCTCTTGGGTCGATATTTGGGGTTTCTTGGGCCATCTTGGAGAGTGGGAGAACCGAAAAGGCAAGAACGCCACAATGTTTCAAACACCGAAGGGCAATTCATGATTGTTGCCTCTTGGGGCCCTTTTGGGGGTGCCCTTGGACGCCTCTTTGGGCGTTTTCGAGGCTTCGTAGACCCTCCCGGAGGCGAGTTGAATATTGTTTCGGGCCTCTGGAGGCCATCATACCGCTGTAGTGGGTTCTCTGAACGCTTTCTTGGTCGTCTTGGAGATCTCGGGAGCCATTATGGCGCAGCCAGAGGAGCCAGGGGAGGGCTGGACGCCCCGGTGAGTTCGGCCGGGGGTCGTGCCGGGCCCTTGGGGGGAGGGGTCAAACGTGCAGTCTGGGGTCCCTGGAGGGGGATTATGGGAGGGGAACTCACACGCTCGTAGACATACAAAGGTTCGGCGGATTACGAGAGGCTGGAGCCACTAGGAGGCTTTGCGTGCGTTGTGTATGTCGTCTACATAATGTTCATGTTCCTCGCGGTGATGAATATCGTTACCAGTGTTTTTCTGGACAAAGCCATGGAGATCGCAAAACCATGCTCGGAAAACGAGAGGCTGGACCAGTGCCACGCGGACCTGGAAGACGCACGCGAGCTCACCCGCTTGGTGTCCTCCATGGACGAAGCCCACCAGGACCGCGTCACCTTCGGCCAGTTCGTGGGCTACATGCGCGAGCCGGAGTTCCGGAAACACTTCGATGCGCGGGGCCTGACCCGGAAGGACACGAGGATGCTGTTCAAGATGCTCGCCTCCTACGACTCCGGCCCGGCCCGCCAGCGCGGCGAGAGGACGGTCCACCTCTCCGCCTTCCTGGAGGGCTGCATGCGGCTGAAGGGGGAGGCGTCCAGCATGGACGTCTACGCCCTCGGCTGCGGGCTGCACCTCGTGCGCGCGGCCCAGGCCGACTTCGGCGCCTGGGCGGAGGGGCAGTTCGCGGAGCTGGGGGCCCGCCTGGACGGCGCGGCGGCCCCAGCCCGCGCGTCCGGCCACCGGCCTCCGGGTTGCTGAGGCCAGGTGCAGTTCTTGCGGGGCCCAAGCATCTGCGCCACCACCACCTCCCTCACCCCCATCCCCCTCCCAGGAGGGAGGAGAGGAGCAGGAGGGCGGAGGGGGGAGGAGGGAGTCAGCGTGGCGGTGGTGGTGTACGTTCTTGGGGCCCGCAGGTTCGGCCCTCCTCGAAGGCGCGAGCCACAGCTCGCGGCTGCCGACGGGGCGCCGCCCCCAGTGGAGGCGACGGCCAGCTGTGGCCCAGTGCGGTGTGGAGGAAGGGGGCTCGGGAGGGGGCATCTAGGCCTAGATGGGGTCGGAGTAGATGGGTTCGGAGGCGATGGGTTCGGAGGATCGCTCCGCATCGCCGATGCATCGACGATGAGGCTCGATGTGGAGCCCGTGTTTCGCCATGCCGGCGGTGCCGATGCACCGCCCACGTCGACGATGCATCGCCGGTGCATCGCTGATGCGGCGCGATCCTCCGACCCCATCTAATCCGACCCCATCGAGGAGGCCTCTAGGCCAGATGGACCAAGCATGCTCGTGTCGTACAGTGGAGACCCATGCCAAGAAACACCCTGCTTGCCTCCAGGATGCCCTGGGTTTCTTGGGCTTCGATGATTATGCTGTGAAGAACCACGACGTTCCCACACCAAAACCAGTGGACTTCCTGGGGTCTCAGGGTTTGGTTTCTTGTGGAAGGCTTCTTGTGGACACGCGTCCACTCTAAGGAACATAATCTTACGACGGGATTTTTTTCCTGGGAAGGTCTCGGGCCCAGGGTTCATTTTCTCAGAGTTTTCCATTGCCCCCCGGTGCCATGCTTGAAGAGGGCGGGCTTGTTCCCGCTCGATGAGCAAATTATGTGAAGCCCCATGCTGTGAAAAAGCATGCGTTTCGCGAGTGCCCGCTCGCGGAAAGTGCGCCCTCTATCTTTGATCATTGGAGAATAACGGGGTCCGCAGACCCCCGTCTTCCTTGGTACGAAATGGTGCGAAGCTTTTTTCGCGCAGTCTCTTCAATGAATAAAGCAGTCTGGAGACCCTCGCATTTTTCATAAACGTCGACATTGTATACTTTTCGCGTGCCCGCTCGAGGGCGGCGCGTCCTGCGCGCAGGATCCTCGAGGATGTCTCGCGCAGGATGTTTTTTCCCCAACCATCCTGTGGTGTTGGGTCCTCGTTTTGAAGAGACAGCGCCCGCTCCCGCTCCCGCTCCGGCTCCTCCTCCCCCTCCTCCCTCCTCCTTCTCATCATCATCATAATCGTCATCATCCTCCATTTCGGCACACCCGTCAAACGTTTCGTGGCCCCATGGGGAGCCCCACCGAAGGCCCCAGTGCTGCCGCCCGCATGCGTCCCGCACACCCAATTCGGCACACCCCTCACACGTTTCGTGGCCCCATAGGGAGCTCCACCGAAGGCCCCACTGCGTGTGCCCGCATGCGTCCCGCACACCCATTTCGGCACACCCCTCACGCGCTTCGTGGCCCCATAGGGAGCCCCACCGAAGGCCCCAGTGACATCCAATTCGGCACACCCCTCACACGTTTCGTGGCCCCATAGGGAGCCCCACCGAAGGCCCCAGTGCTGCCGCCCGCATGCGTCCACACCCAATTCGGCACACCCCTCACACGTTTCGTGGCCCCATAGGGAGCCCCACCGAAGGCCCCAGTGCTGCCGCCCGCATGCGTCACGCACACCCAATTCGGCACACCCCTCACACGTTTCGTGGCCCCATAGGGAGCCCCACCGAAGGCCCCAGTGCTGCCGCCCGCATGCGTCACGCACACCCAATTCGGCACACCCCTCACACGTTTCGTGGCCCCATAGGGAGCCCCACCGAAGGCCCCAGTGCTGCCGCCCGCATGCGTCCCGCACACCCAATTCGGCACACCCCTCACACGTTTCGTGGCCCCATAGGGAGCCACCGAAGGCCCCAGTGCTGCCGCCCGCACCGCCCGGCACGCGATGGGAGTGGCCCCAACGCCGCGGCACACCCCTCACACGTTTCGTGGCCCCATAGGGAGCTCCACCGAAGGCCCCAGTGGGTGTGCCCGCATGCGTCCCGCACACCCATTTCGGCACACCCCTCACGCGTTTCGTGGTCCCATAGGGAGCTCCACCGAAGGCCCCAGTGGCGGCGCTCACATGCGCATGCGTCCCGCACACCCATTTCGGCACATCCCTCACAGGTTTCGTGGCCCCATCATCCACCGGAGGCCCCAGTGGCGGCGCTCTCATGCGCCACCCACACCCACCCAATTCGGCACATCCCTCACACGTTTCGTGGCCCCATAGGGAGCTGCACCGAAGGCCCCAGCGGCCGCGCTCACATGCGTCCCCGCCACCCATCCCGGCACGCCCCTCACAACAACAGGTTTCGTGGCCCCATAGGGAGCTCCACCGAAGGCCCCAGTGGCACCGCCCGCATGCGTCACCACCCGCACCCAATTCGGCGCACCCCTGACACGTTTCGTGGCCCCATAGGGAGCTGCACCGAAGGCCCCAGTGGCGGCGCTCACATGCGTCCCCGCCACACATCCCAGTACATCTCTCACGCGCTTCGTGGCCCCATAGGGAGCTCCACCGAAGGCCCCAGTAGCGGCGCTTACATGCGTCTCCGCCGCCCATCCCAGCACCCCCCCCGCAGCAGCATGTTTCGGGGACCCATAGGGAGCTCCACTGGAGGCCCCACTGGCGGCCCTCACATGCTTTTCCGCCACCCATGTCGGCACGCCCCGCGCGTGTTTCATGTCCCCATAGAGAGCTTCGCCGAATGCCCCAGTGGCACCCATCTCGGCACACCCCTCAAATGTTCCGTAGTCCTATGGGGAGTTCCACTGAAGATGAAACCCGCAGCTGCGGTACTGACAACTGCATATGGTTGGGTTCTTCGCCAGGCTAATTTTGTTTTGCAGAAGTTGAATGGCCTGGGTACCCCAGGATGCCCATGTGGTTCTGAGAGTGCGGTCGCACCGTCATCTACCGGGGATCGTGGCCATGGGAGCGCGGACGCCGCGCAGTCTACGAAGGATCCTGGCCCTGGAAGCGCCGACACATTGCAATTTACAAGGGATCGTGGCCTTTGGGGGTGGGCGGGCGCATTTCATTTACGAGGGGTCCTGGCCCTGGAAGCGCGGGCACAGCGTAATTTACAATGGATCCTGGTCTTGGGAGATTCCATGTAATTCGAAAGGGGCCGTGGCCCTGGGAGCGCGGACGCAGCGCAACTTACCATGGATTGCATCCTTGGGTTCAGGCGGGCCTGCCGCTCTGGAGGAGGAATATTCAAAAAGAGTAAAACAGTCTGGGCACGGTTTTTCGAATCTGTTTTGATTGCTTTTGTTTACGTAGTGAACATCTTGTAGCTTTCGCCCAAAATGCGCCTGTAGGGGGACACGCCCGACCTAACCCTGGGAGCGCGGACGCAGCGCAACTTATAATGGATTGCCTCCTTGGGGGGGGGGCGGGCGAAATGTCATTTGCGGAGGATCGTGGCCCCGGGAGCGCAGGCGCCGCGTAATGTGCGTGGCCCTGGGAGTGCACAGGCACAGTTACTATCTTGCGCAGCTGCTGTGTTCTAGAGCTCGGAACCCTTTTTGTTCTCGTTCGCCGTTCGCCGTCCGCCCCCCCCCCCTCCCCCCCGGGCCACGGAAGCATGGAGGAAGGAGGCGAAAGCCTCCTTGGTGCAAGAGCCAGGGCACGCGTGCCACTTGTGTTTTGATGGATCGCGGCCCTGGGAGAGCGCGGGCGCCGTGCACCTGGCGGCAAGGCTCGGGGCCCTGGGAGCGCGGACGCAGCGCAATTTGCGAGGGATCGTGGCCCTGGGAGCGTGGCTCCACCGCACAATGGCCCATGCTAAGAGGCACCCTGTTTGCCTCCAGGGTGCTTTGGGTTCCTTGCGTTTCGATGGTTTTGCGATGGAGACCCGCGCCAGAACTCCATGGATGTCCAGGGGTCTGCGGATTGGGCTTCTCGTGGGAGGTTTCTTGTGGACCCGGCTCTTCTGTAATTTACAAGGGAACGCGGCCCTGGAAGCGCGAACCCAACGTAATGTACGAGGGATCTTGGCTCTGGGAGCGCGGACCCAGCGTGATTAATGGGGAATCGCTGCCTCGGGAGCGTGGACGCAGTGTAATGTGTGAGGGTTCGCGCCTTCGCGTCAAGCGCCGAATTTTCAGGAGACGGCGAGGGGGGCGGGGGGCGAAAAGCGCCACCCGAATACGCATCCCAATGTTGAAATGTATTGCTTTCTGCTCTGGAGAGGGGGGGTTCTTCTAGGCAGCCTCCGCGGAGTGCTTCGTGGACCTGGGAGCGCGAACGCAGCGTCATTTTCGCGGGATCTCAGCCTTGGGAGCGCGGACGCACCGTGACTTACGAGGGATCGTGACCCTCGAGCACGCTCCATGGCACGTTCCCTGGTGCTTCCTCTGGGCACGTTGTGCGGCGAGTCCCCTGGCACGATCCCTGGCAGGTCCCCTGGCAGGTCCGCTGGGACGTTCCGTGGCGCGTCCCGTGGCGCGCCCCCTGGCACATCGCGCGGCGAGTCCCCTGGCACGTCCCCTGGCACGTCCACTGGCTTGTTCCAGCATGTCTTTGTGTGGCGCGGCACAGCGCAGAGAAGCACAACACAGCCTCTGGCACAGCATCACCGTTGGTATCTTCAGCACTGCCACTTGCCATCGCCCAATTGAGGCACTCGGAAGCGTCCCCCAGCCTCGCAGTTCTAAATACCTTTCCGGGTTCGGGGGTCGATCATTCCAGTAGCAAGCGCGCAGCTCGAAAAAAACAATGACACGACTCTAACCAGCAGGATGCGATGCGCGATGCCTTGGGCAGCGGCGCCTGTTGCAGCCGCGCATCTAGCTGACATAACGTGTGCAGATCATGGGTGGTTGTCAAGATGGCCGGGCGGCCCACCACACGACAAGGCCAATGCGCTGACGTCATTTGGTATTTCTGGTACTTGTCACCATCCGCCCGCACATCTCGAATTTGCAGTCTGTTTGAAAAGAG